CCACTAACACGCAAGTGCAAACATGGCTCGTTGCCTTGCCGACACCTTTACGAGGCCATTTTGAGCTCGTGCCACTCCGAACATTCGGGACTTCTCACCAGGCAATAATCCTCCACCTACTATGTTCAACGGATACGTGGTACACAAAAAAAAGAAATTTTCGGTGCGCCTCCATCGCAGATGACAAAGTGCACCTCCCGCGGATTCATTTGACAACCTATACAACATCTCTGCACCGTTTCCATCAGGTTCCAGGTTCCCCCCGGAATCGCGCCCGAGGGAAGATGGATCGGGTGAATTGTGTCCGTGATCGCATGGGAAAAGGTACATTTTGTCCAATCAAATCTAGGCCACCTTGCAATGCGATGTATGTGCACTTGATATAAATTTCGCGAATCAACACATTTCCTTGCCTTTTGGGGACCAATTTTTCGGCCTGTTATGGCAAGATGCTCGTAAATGACATTCTGATGGAGAATCTCGAGGTGAGGGGAGCCCGCAGCCAGAGGCAAAGTTGAGAAACTACAGGCCTCACCGATTCCAATTCTTAGGTCTCCATATTGCACAGACGGTCAACCTAACCGTGACCTGACTGAGGAGGTGAGCGGGAACCGTGAATTGGGGGCAAGGAGAGGGATGGGAGGGGATCAGACAAGATCGAACGAGCTGAGGTGACGTCTGGGTTGGTTTGGCTTCCGCTTGAAATGGGGAAAGACCCCGTCACAGCCTCGCGATGGCCCTATATCGCGAACTTGATAAAGTACACGATTTTGTCCACAAGACCAGTCGTTGGATATTGCGTCGTCGTAGGTGCCAGCCATAAGAACCATAAGGTCGCTTGGATACGCCAGAGCTAGGTCAAGTCCCCCGACATCCAGTGTGACGTGGTTTAATTATGAGCGGAAGCACCCAGAAAACTGTCGGCCAAGGAACCATGGCATTACGAGACGCGAAGACCTCGCCAATGAGCGACCTGAACTCCTCAGGGAGCTAATGCCTGTCAATCGCGGCTGAAAAGGTACAAGACACGATCGGAAGGAACTAGAAGGTGCTACAGTATTCATCGCCTCGCGGTGTTGTGGGGCGATGTCATAGGATGATATCGTTGTCATGAAGGAGAAACCTTGAAACCCGTCAGTAACTAGCAAGTGTTGTAATGGACGTCGAAATTCTTCTCGAAGCTGTGAGGCTTCAGGGAAAGTATAAAGCAGGTTCTTCTGGGGTTCTAGGGGCACACATTAGAAAATGAACCGTGACTTCGTTGCATTCGAAGGACAGGACCCCTTCTCCGAGGTTGTGAACTTGATACCAACATGCATTAACGGCTCGAATGAATGGGCTAGATGCACATCACTCAGCAAAACGACGCAAGTGAGCGGAAAAGGGACCAGAAATCCGCTGACATCAAGCCCTAGACGAACTAGTTGGCTGCGATGCAAGGCGGTGGGCTGAGCTAGGGAGGGAGGTCTTTCGTGATGATCAGAATTGCAGTGTTTGCTGGAATGCCAGATTGATGAGAAAGAGAAGCACGAGACTAGGTTTGGCCACCAATTGGACGGCAGGAACTTCTATCAAAGTCCCAGTTACTGATCCCCGAAGCACCCTGTTTCCCTCCGTTCTCCTCTTGACATTGACAGCCCGTGTCTTTTCTCGCGATTGAGATTGTTCCAAAGGCAGGTACACGACTCATAATTGTTGAGGTTGAGGCAGGCAGGATGGGATGGATCTTTGCGGAGGCCGGCAGAAGCCGAAACCCGGAACCTTGGCCAAAAAGCCGCTGCCTAGGCTCGTGCAGTCAGTGACAGCGACGACTTGACTCTAACACGACTGGCTGGCAGGGCAACCCGCTACCCCCCCCCTTCACCCCTTCCTGGTCCCCTCGGGGTTTCAGGATTTAAAGAACCGCCCACGTTCCCCGCGCCCTCGGGCATAGAAATGACCACTAACGTTTGTACATAAGGGGTACATAAATTCATTCATTATCGTGCTTTAGAAGTACGTCAGAGGTACGCCTACATCGAACCTGTCTTTAAAAGGAAAGTGTAGAGGTTCATAAGCATGGTCGAGCGGTCAGCGTCGTGACTCATTCTGGCATACATCGCGCCTGCGCCTCCGCGCCTCCGAGAACACGCAGTCTAGCAGGGGGGGCCGTGGGGAATTTGAGCAGATTAAATTGAAGCCTTCTCCCCGGTCCTGGTTCGCAACCAGGTTGGTTCCCCCTAAAATTATAATATCCTGCCACGCGTTTCAAGTCCTACAAGCCTGGCGATAATGGAATTGCACCAAATGAACTCTATAACAACTTCTTGCATAGTTCCAAAGTCTTGTGTGCCATGAGTCGAGTCCGACAGGGAGCGCTGGGGCTGTTACGATCTTAACGGAAATTCTGACAAAGACATTCTTCTCCTGGCAACTAAGTAGGCTGGACATGCGTTGTCTGCAAGTTAGCTACGCCAGCCATAGATAGGCTCAGATTCCCGAGATATGGGACGCTTTACGTGAGCACCATTCACGGTACTTCCCCCCTACCTGACAACATCGATCCGCATCAAACAAATCCTCTCAAATCTGGCACGAAGCCCTGACCGATCAAGGGAACGAACGGAATCACTTTCACGCGTGGCGAAAATACATTGCTAACGAGGCCTTAGTCTTTCTACACACATTCTGAATAAGGGGAGGTTCCTATCAGACGAGGGGGTGTGACCATGCAACATTGAAGGGACTTGGGGAATGAGGACAAGGTGTTGAGAACGTCCAAACGGGGATTCGAAAAAACGACGCAAGCGGGAGATAGCAAGACAGATCGTGGAATATATCATGTCCGTGATTGCGTCAGAGAGGCCCGTGGCAATCGAGACAATTATCGGGTAGGGGCTCAGCCATTTCCGTTCGAATGGGCTCCACTTGAGAGAACACCAGCTAGCGAAGCTTCTTTCCGGCTCGAACTGGGTCGAGAGGACCTGGAAGAGTTCAGGGGTGGAATAATCAGCGTGCGGTTGCTCGTGCACAAGAAAGGTTAGCCTTACGAATCCTTGGATTTTCGATTGGGTTTGGGCCATCCCCAAACCTCACGGATCCACCGCTCCATAGGTACCTCCTGCTTCATGACTCTAACAATCCACGGGTGGGTTGACATCTCTTTCGGTGTTGGACGTAGCGCCGGGTCGACCCGTAGGCTAAAGGATAAGGTCAAGATGGGAACATGAGGGAGAGGGCTGAAGGACCGCACGTCTCTTTAATGAAGTCCTTCATGGCATCGCTCCAACGCACTTCTGCCTCGTCTTCTAGTTGTGGTGGCTAGACGTAAAATGTCGGATATATCGCACCCCACGATAGAGAAATGAAACACGCACTTCGCTTTGCGTAATATAAATCATGAGTTCGATGGGCGGCATGTCACTAGGGAAGGGGAAACGATTTTGTACAAGCTCAAGCAGCGATAGACCTGTCGACCAGACATCCGCTCGGATCGAATATTCGAGACCTGAGAGGCGTTCGGGCTGCAAGGCAAGTGCATGTTAGATGAAAGTATTACGTTACAGGCTGAACAAGACGGACGGCCATGTAGAGACTTGTACCGGTGAACGTGCCCGCTACGGATCCGATCAATTCTCCTGAAACACCAAAGTCACAAAGTTTCACGACACCCTCGCGGGAAAGGAGGATATTGGAAGGTTTAATGTCTCGATGAATGAGCTTCTTTGAATGAAGATATGCAAGACCCTGCAATATCTAGAGGGGGGAGGTGAGGATAACTGATGCCATTGAAGTAGAGAGAAGGCGTACTCCTTCTGCGAGCCTCCCGGCAACCTTCTCACCAACCCTAGCACCGCGCTCTTTGATACGCTTGCCCACCGCCTCCAAACTCTTCCCTTGGCAAATTTCCATCACCACTTTAACTTCGCTGGATGAAGGAGACATATAGGCGCCATAGAAGCGAATGATATTGGGATGCTTAATCGTGGTGATAATGCCCAGCTCTCGCACGACCTGCTTCATTGGGGCCTCGCGAGTAGTGATGGTCTTGCGCGCCATGCATTTGCCTGTGCGTTTGTCCCTGACTTCGTGTACAGCACCTCCAGCACCTTCACCGAGCCGGGCAACTTCATCGAAGACATCATCTGACCATTCGGCTTGTGGTTGATCATCGATCTGCTCCTCCCCAGGGTACGTAGACGGAGGGGGTGTGGAGCGGGTCTGGACCTCGATATCAGTGATCGTTCGACGGACATCCTCCATTGAGAGTGGCCTCGAGGTGGTCGTGGACGGGCGGATGGTAGTATCATCGACACCACTACCGTTGATTGGAAGCGAGACGGAAGGCGTCTGCGGACCACCATAGTAATCACCCCCATAAAGGCCTACTGTAGGTGGGTCGTTCCGACGGGAGGCAGAGGCACCACCAATGGCGAGCTTGAGGGAAGGTTTGCCTGTACCGGAGGTGGTAGATGAGGTCGGGATCTGAAGAGCTAGCTTTGGTGTGGGTGAACGAGATAAGGGAGGGCTTGGAGGAGTAAGAAGGGAAGTGTTTTCGGGCTTGGAGGTTGAGGTCTTGCGTATATTGAGAGGGAGAGTCTGCTGTGAGGCAGAATAGGGCGCGGGGGAGGCGGATCTCTGGATGGTGCGAGGACCGTGTGGCCGATGCTGGGGCTGACCGCCAGAACCGGTGAGAAGACTGGTGGAAAGCATTGGACTGGGGGCTAGAGAAGAGAGAAGAGAACAGGTTGTAGGGCGACGAGACTCGACTCAGGGGAAGAGTCGGACTGCCGGCGTCCGCGCGAAAGAAATGCCAGATACGCCGTGACCGCGCGACAACGTTCATCATCGCATGGCCATAGCCGGGACCCTTCGCCTCCGCCTCACCTCGCCTCGCCTTGCCGCTCCGTTCTATCTATTCTAATATTCTTTTTCTTTTTCCTTCCACATATTCGTGGCCAACAATAACGACAACTGTCACGGCTTGATCTCTCATTGTGCCTCCAGTTTCACAATATTGCGGTACTGTGGCCGAGTGGTTATGGCGTCACGTTTAGGTTCTAGCCAATCCGTGATGGGAAACCTCGCGAGTTCGAATCTCGTCAGTGCCAGCTTTTTTCCTTCTTTTGATACTGTAAACTAATCACTGGCACCGATATTTGTGCTCACCGCCCACAACACCACCTGCCACAATCCCGACATGTGTTATAGAGCGTTTTGAAAGAGTTGTCTCCTCCTGTCCATTGGAAGGGGGCTATAATTTATCAGCTTGTACCATGTCATCCCACTCCCACAACAGCTTTGGTTCCACCACCTCCTCACCTCCCAGTTCCAATTCCCTTACTACGCCACAACGACCGCGGAAGCAAACGGGCTCCCTTCGCCCAGACTCGATCGGCGTCGATCCCGATCAAATCGTTGGCAAAGTGCTGATGCACATCCGACGTTCTCCCACACACCCCTCTGTAACCCTCCGTTTCGCTGATAATACCACTTATCAAATCCGCGTGGATGGTTACGATCCTGTCCATCGTGGTATCCCGAAGGAGCTCGAGATGAACTCAGTACTCCTCCCTCTCTTCAAGCCCCCAGGTGGTCAGATTGACGTTCATCTAACAGTCACTCATGCGCGCATGGTCGAATTAAAGGACACCGCCCATGAGTGGTCTGAGACGGCAGAGAGTAGATGGAACGTTGAGCACATCGCCCTTGCCTTGAAGTTCGCGGAGGAGCCTAGCTGGCACTGCGTCTGGGCCACCATGGCAGAGTATGATGGCGATTTCGGTCCGTGTACATTCCGGAGCTTTGACGACGTCTATCTCGCCGAACTGCACTCATCACCTCGCAAGCGCAAATCTCCGCAAAAGCAAGGCCGGACACCCCGCGGGCCCAGGTATGGGTCTGGCATCTCCCTGGGACGCTGAACTTTGGCGGAATTTAATTCCTTCAGAATGAGTTCTTGGTTATCCCATTTACGAAAGCCATGAGGACCCCCGTTTACACTTGTGCCCAAATTTCGCTGCTTTTCTTTTGCTCTGCCTTTCTTGCTTTGTCATACTCTTCACGGACTCAGAAACTGTTGTGTTTGAAGTTGCAATATCACTGTATTTGTACTGTCTATTATTTCTAGCACGACACGACCGCGATCAGGAACATTTCGTGTCTGCGCCATTTTTAGACTCATTTACTCCCGAATCCGCAGCTGGGAATCCGTGACGACTGACGGTACCCTGAATCATTACAGACTGCCCCACATCGCAATATCCTAGCTTAGCATCTGCATGTAAGCATGCTCAGTGCAAGTGTAATTACAAGAGATGATGTCCCTAACCCCATCCGGACAGTGGGATCCGCCAAATTGGGGTCCTTGACAACAAATCAATCAGGGCGGACGTGCACGAGCCTGGAATAATGGAACATTGATCCTCTGATTAAGACAGGGTACAAGGCCGACAATAACGAACGGAAGTTTCGAAGCACCTGCCACTGTATTGAGCTCACGGGGCTGTGTCCCGTATTGTCAACTTACCCTATAGAAGGTAGGTACCATCGCTGTTGTAGCACGAGCACGAGTGGCCAGTAGGGGTATTGTGCCGTAAAGCAGGGGACTATCTATCATCATGACCTCACATACCTCATCTCGATTAGCTAGCTAGCTCATCTTCCTCCAGCGCAATCAGGGCTGGGACGTTCCAACGATGCCGAGAAAGGTATCCTGCACACTCCGAGCGTACTTTCGCATCCGGCGGTATTGAGATAAATAAAGCAAGATCGTATTACGCAGGTCCAATTGGCACAAATTGTATCTCAGAGAAGCCACGACCCATGGATGCGCATAGCTTCCTACTCGACTGCCGGCATGCGAGGAGCACAAATTCCGCAAGTCCCCATGATTGGAGCGGGTCTAGCCAGTAAGTATGAGCAGCACAATGAACCCGGCCTTCCGGCCTGCCACGGTCATAAGTTAGCTTGATCCATTGTCTTGTCATAAATGGAGATATTCGGGCCAACTATCATGAGAGCGCACGGAAGACGAATCGGTCTGTTCAAGCGGGCCTGGGGGCCACGAACAGAGGTGACCTTCATTGGCCTTGTGATGTGGGGTTACCAAAATCAGTTGATTAAGAAATTATGAATCACGAAGGCTAGGTGATGGGCGCAACATCACGTTGGCACAGACGGGCGGCGCCGTGGGTACTGTACAAATATGCCGGCGCCATCCGATGAGTCTGGCAGGCATGCAGCGTTGCGTGCGATGGTGGCAACTGAGGGGTTAGGCCTGTTACGGTGTCTGATGTCGGGTCTCGTTGCTTGCCAGACACCTCGAACACCATCGTGTCGTAATAGTGATTTCAAAGGTACGACTTTTAAGTGCCCAGACGGAAATGCGTTTGCGGTTACATAGATCAAGAACGGCTAAATGGTCGGGGGTCTATCAACACGTCTGCGCCAGACGTGTGACAAGATGGATGTCATGAAGAACTGTCAGCCCCCCAAGACTGGCTCTGCCCCTGAACCTCGACCAAGCCTATCTGCACGAAACACGAAGCACCTTGCCGTACAGATCCTGAAATATGATGCGGGTAGGTCCTTGGCGCTCATCTATTTCGCGCCCCTGAGAAGAGTGCAGAGTGCGAGCTTCGAGGTTGTGGCGCTTCGGCTTACGACGAACAGGAATAACATGTACTTCAACAAGGAACACAACAGTAGAGCGCAGCGGATATAAGCATCACCACATTGATGCCCTATGCGACCTGGGCCGTTTCCTTCTATATAGGGTTCGCAGAGCACAGCCCACAAAATTTCGTGTTTAGGATGGAGGTATTTGTGTTCCAGAACGTCTTGCTAATATCATCACTAAACCGAATGGGGGTTACGCCAAGGTCGCACAAATGATGATGATCAAGCACGCGTTGAGCTGGCACAAAAACCTTGAGGGGTGAATGAAATTATTGGGTGGTAGGCGCTGAGGGATTGTCTGGGTAGGCTGGGAGAGGACTAGTACAACTACCGGATCGGGTTAAGCGACCCCATGGTCGCTGACAGTGACATTCATTCGTTATTTGTCCCATCAGAAAAGTCTACTGTATGGCAGCGATCTGTTCCCGTATACAGCCCTAAATGGTTAACTATATGGATTTGGTTTCCTGCGTGTGTGTACGTGGAGTGGGGGGGGGGGAAGCGGAAGGAACTTGAGGAGTCTTCTGGGCGGCCGTTTCTGATTATCATGGACCGTGTGGCTGAGAGCTGGTGGCGCTGACCTCGACGGTTTTGTATCCCGACCCCCATGACTTCCTCCAAGAAGGCATTATCCTCCAAGGTCACCTTTGCGTCGTTGACTCTGAACAATCTGGGAACTGTCCGAAAGTTGAACTCTGTTCTCTTCCCGATCAAATATAGTGAGAAATTCTACAGCGATATTCTCTTACCCGAAGTCGAGGATTTTTGCAAGCTAAGTGTGTGCTAGTGTGTCCTCTCTTGAGTTGTCAGCCCGCCAATCGCACCCGCAGTTTACTACAATGACATACCCGTCGGAACAACGTGCTGCAGAATTGAAACGAAGGACGGCATCAGTCAACTGTATCTGCTGACTATGGGAGTTCTCGCGGTGCGCCTTGGTTGGACACCTGACCCCAAATTCGGTGCTGACTTCTTCACTTATCGCCCTAGCCATATCGATCTCTTGGTATAGGTTCATACAGCTTAGATGACATCTTGCGAGCTGCCGCTGCTCATACGAAACCCAAGATCTGTCGCATATATCTCCATGTGCAAGTCTCAAACCACGGCGCGAAGCAGTTCTACGAACGACATGGGTTCAGGGAGAGTGGCATCGACGAAGGTTATTACAAGAAAATAACACCAAGTGGCGCTTGGGTATTAGAACGAGATATTGAGCCCTCGGAGGGTGAACAAAAATAACGCATCGTTTTTGTTGGCAATCGATGAGGACATAGTAGGTAGGTGGGGTTTATTCTATTACTTTATTTCCCACGTCAGTTGGCACAGAGCGAACAGTCACAATAGATATAGGCTACAAAGTAAAAGGCCTGAGTGTCTAATACCCAAGATCGCTCGCTGAGCAGATTATAATCAGACACCTATCCCAGCAACTACATGACAAGTTGAGATAAAACAAGAAAGTTAAAAAGTAGATCTACTGGTTTCGTGAGTCGAGGTATGTTGTGTAGGGATGCGAAGCTACTCACGCTCAGAGAAAAAATTACGATGTGGTGGCCTCAGGATTGCTCCTCAAAGCCACACCTCTTCACAAGCTGTGAAAGTGATTGGTAGGCTGGCGATATTCAGCATGGGGACGGGCGAACCTGATGCCTCTTCAATGCGTCCTTCCTCGTAAACGTCTTTCCGCATCCTCCATTACACAGGAATGGTTTTTCACCAGAATGTGTCTCCCGATGCCGCTTGAGGTCATGTTGGCGATTGAACGAGAGCGCACACATGTCACATGCAAATGGGCGTTGGGGAGAAGCCGGATATTGCATCTGATCAATACCCTGCACCATCATCTGACCATGCTGCGAGTCGTGTGCCCCATATGCATGGTTTGACATTGGACTCGAAGGGTATCCTTGTTGCGGAAGAGACAACGATCGGTTGTGGGAATACCCACCAGGCCTTGGATCGGATGAAGTTGGACCATGCTGGGATGGATAGGGCGGCGAGGAAGGTGACACATTGTGTGAGTGTTGACTGTTTGTAACCGGGGGTTGATAGGGTGAGTGCCTGGTCGCTGAGTGGTAATTGTGTTGAGCTGCCATCCCAGAGGACTGAGCACTTGTGGCGCCGTAAGAATAGGAGGGAGAATACGATGATGCGGGCAGTGTGGGAGACACGGGCGGTGATCCCTGTGCTGGGAAGTAGCTCCCATTGGAGGAGGTGTAAGGCATGCGTTGGCCAGACCTGTTCCACTGAGGAACAGGGTATGTATTGGGCTGGTCTGAACTAGAGTGGCGCGAGTTATTGAGGTTCATGATACGGGATCGATAGATGACGAGGTGAGACGTGTTGAGTTGATTGCCTGCCCTCCATTGGCCTTCATAAGGCTTTCGGAGAGGCGCCAAACAAGATCAGGAACACTGCCAAACTAGAT